TAATATATTATATTATATTTTCATATAATTTTTGAAATTATTCGTATGTGTAATTTTTAAGCAATGGTTGGAAAAAAACCGATTCGCTTTTCAATAAGCAAATACAAAATTATTTTAAAATTACACAACATATGAAGGCTTTCAATTGTGCACTACAAAATTGTATTGGTATCGTTTTTATTATAGTATATTATTAGTAATCTCGTTTTCGAAATTTTTTTTATTAGCAAAATTTTAAATGCGGTTGTGATAGTTAGAAAGAAACATTTTATACAATATATTGATTGACACGAAGCGTATTTGTCATAAATGCAACATCATTAAACATGTTTTTTTTATATAAATCTGTTCGGGAAACTCTCTTACGCCCGACTCAGCAATGGAGATAGAGCGTTCGAGAGATTCTATATGAGCGCTGTGTAAACAATGTAAAGGACATACAGCGTGGATGAAGGAAAATGAGCAGGCACTTTTTGAATAGAAGAGGGTTTACTTAATAATTAGAGTTATTTACAGTATTGCACAGTTGTGAGAGTAGCAATTCTATTGAACAGTTTGATGATTCGCACAAGGCTGATCCAATGTACTGTCCGTTGAGCCGGATGACCGGCTACAATCGTGCAAGCACTCTAATGCTGAGAAGCACTTGCACAGAACCATGAGCAGTCCTAATTAATGCACAGGTTGTAACGAGCTGACTCTTAATCGAGATCACACTTAGAGCAGTTTTCCAGAGTGATTCCTTTCACAGTGAGCGTTACAAACGAATGAATGGAGAGCGCGTGCGCGCCGGCGTCACGACAAGACGTATGGTCGTCACGTGAACGCCGGCCAGGAGGCTCCCCTGCCCCCGTTCTGCTCTCGACACCCCATCGCACGGTCGCTCGAATTGTCCCCCTGGGCTTCACGGGCGACCGTGAGATGGCAACAACGGCACCGATTGAGCGAGCTGACGGAATCTCAAACATTCCCGCCCGCCATCAGCAATGGGATTGATGATGAGTCCCCTCCTATAGTCGTTGAGCTTGGTCCTGGTGAGCAACAGGCAGAGGTACGAGCTTGGCAATTGGTCTGGTGAGAGTTGTCAAAGGTGTGAGTTTGGTGATAGGTTTGGTGACAGTTGCCTTGGGTGTCTTAAGTGTCACCACTCGGGTGAGTCCATCCTCTCCTGGCATTGCAGCAACGACTCTAGCCAATGGCCACTTGCATGGAGGAAACCTTTCATCTGTGATGAGCACCAATGAGCCCATTTGTATGGTTTTTGATGGATGATGCCACTTTGAGACAGCTTGCAGTCGTTGCAGATACTGTGATGACCATTGCGACCAGAATTGCCATCGTGATAGTCTTGAGATGGCTATGTCTTCCAGAGATGACTCAGGTACCGTTGTAAGCGCACTTCCGATGAGGAAATATCCTGGGGTGAGTGCTGAGATGTCATCTGGATCGTCGCTGAGTGGTTCTAGAGGTCGTGAGTTCAGGATCGCCTCGATCTGGGTTGTCGTTTCCTTAAAAGTGAGCAAGGTTTCTCCGATGGTACGACGCAGGTGGTATTTGAGTGATTTCACCACTGCCTCCCATTTGCCACCCATGTGCGGGGCAGACAGTGGATTAAAATTCCACTGAGTGCGATCTTGAGCGAGCAGAGCTGAGATGTGTTGATTCTCTTGAGAGCTCTGTGTGAACAATGTTTTGAGCGATTTATCAGCTCCAACAAAGTTCGTCCCGCAGTCGGAGTAGAGTGAGTGTGGGATGCCTCTCCTTGACACAAATCTCTTGTATGTTGAAAGAAATCCATCCGTTGAGTAGTCTGAAACAACTTCCAAATGAACTGCAGATGTTGTGAGGCAGACAAACACACAAATCCATCCTTTATGAGTCTTCGCTCCTCTTCCCTTCCATGGTTTGAGTGTGAGTGGTCCGGCATAATCAATCCCAGTATGAGTGAATGCATGTGAGGGTGTGACTCGAGGCAGAGATAATTGGCCCATCAGTTGATGTGCACGGACCCTCCTTTGTCGAGCACACACAACACACCGCAAGACATGAGATTTCACTGGAGCTCGTCCATCGATGATCCAATAAGATTGCCTGATATGAGCTAATGTGAGTTGCGTGCTGCCGTGTAATGTCTGTTTGTGAGAGTAGTCAATGATAAGCTCAGACAATCTTGAGTGGCGAGGAAGAATTGCTGGATGTTTGCCTTCATACGTGAGTGTTGAGTTGCTGAGCCGTCCTCCTACACGAGCAATTCCTTGATGATCGATAAATGCTGTGAGACGACTGAAAGGATGAGAGGTTGGCAGGTGTGATTGTGAGCTGAGAACCTTGAGCTCGTGAGCAAAAAATGCTGATTGAGTGGCCTTTATCCAGAAGATCTTGGCTTTCTCGATGTCATTGACTGAGATGCATGTAGCCCGTGAGCGATCATATTGCCCTTTTAATCGTAGGACAAATCCTTGACACAGAGTTGTAATCCGAAGCAGTCGATTGAGAGATGAATATCTGTGAACAAGATCCCAATGATAATCCACTTTCATGTTGGTTGTGAAAAGTGAGATTCCTGGGCGTGATTCCACTGTACACTGTTCGTCAGAGCCAGTTGGTTGAGTGGGCCATTGATCTTCAGGTTGTAGCAAGGTCCAGCCCACCACAGTTTATGATCTTCAAGTTGAGCTGTAGTTAGACCACGAGAGGCGCAGTCCGCTGGATTGGATGTGCCTGGAACAAATTTCCAATGAGCATGTGTCGTGAGTTCTTGGATTTGTGATACTCTGTTTCGCACATAATCCTTCCATTGGGATGAGTGTGTTTTGATCCACGTGAGAGTCACTTGAGAATCCGTCCATAAATATGTTGTCTTGATGTCCATCTTGAGTGTGGCATGGACATGCTTGATCAATTTTGCAAGAAGCAGCGCTGCTGTGAGCTCTAGCCTTGGAATAGTGAGCCTCTTCAAAGGAGCTACCTTCGTTTTTGAGCATATGAGAGAAGTTTTGGCGCCAGTGGACGGCTTGAGCACGACCATGTAAACGACTGCAGCCATGGCAAATTGAGATGCATCAGAGAAGCCATGTAATGCAATGCTTGAGTCACTACTTGTGTTGAGCCAACGTGGAATTGAGAACCTGGCCAGGTTTGTGAGATCCTTTCTGATGTTGAGCCACCGTGAGCCAACCTGAGACGGCAATGCATCATCCCAGTTGATTTTGTGGAGCCAGAGCTCTTGTAGAAGCATCTTGGCTCTAATGATTATTGGTGAGACAAAACCAAGTGGATCAAATATCTGTGCCACCTCAGATAACACACGACGCTTTGTGAATTGTTCTTGATGAGATGTTGAGCTTGTTGCGAATGTGAAGACATCCTGTTGAGGAAGCCATCTTAATCCGAGAATTTTGGTTGCGCAATCGTCAAGTGAGACTGATGAGGAGATTGAGTCCGTCAATGAGATTGCGTTTAATAAATCTTGATGATTGAAGTGCCATTTAGCGAGAGGAAACCCGCCCGCATGGCAGAGATTTTCCAGTTGATGAGCGATTTCTGTGAGTTGTTCCACTGTGTCAGCACCACCAAAGATGTCATCCACGTATCTTCCATGAGTGATTGGTGGCACTGCCAGTGGGAATCGATGTCCTTCATCTTCAACAAGTTGTATGAGTGTCCGCACTGCCAAGAATGGAGCAGCCTTCGTTTCATAAGTGACCGTGGTGAGATAGTATGATGTTTCATTGTGATGTTCGTCAATCCACAGAATGCGCTGTAGATCCCAATCTGATTGGTGTACCTTGATTTGTCGATACATCTTAGCTATGTCTGTGGCAAAGATGTAACGATGGCCACGGATCCACATGAGGACGTCTGAGACATCGAGCAGCAGGTTTGCACCGGTGTGCATGAGATCGTTCACTGAATATCCTGATGAAGTTGGACTCGAGCCATTGAAAACGACCCGAAGCTTCGTTGTTGTGCTGTCGGGTTTGAGTACGCCATGATGAGGTAGATAGTATGGCGCCACATTCCCTAAGGGTTCTGATGTGACTTTCACCATGTGATTGAGTTGTTCATATTCAGTCATGAACTTGGTGTAAAGGCTCTGGTATTCCCTGTCCTTGTTGAGTCGTCTGAGAGTTCGCTGAAGACAATGATGAGCTGTGTTGTATGAGTTGCCTAAGACACTGGCGGAGAGCTTGAGTGGTATGCGTACAATGTACCGTCCCGTTGAGTCTCGAGAGTGAGTGGCCTTGAAGTGATCCTCACATTGTTGTTCTTCAAGTGTGAGTTGTGTCGTATGATCAGCTGGCAATTCTTCTTGCATCCAAAACTTTGTCAACAATTCTTGAAGATCTGAGTCATGTCGTTGAATCTTGATGTGATGTGCAGTCAATGGATGTTATGATGATGAGAGTATGGGACCAAGTATCAACCAGCCGAATATAGACAGCTGTGCGATTGGCATCTCAGGAGATTGCTTGATAATGTTGGGCTTGATGATCTGCCCGTATGCATCTGCTCCAATGATGAGATCGATTATACGTGGAATGAGAAATTGTGGATCTGCCAATTTCAACTTCTCAATGTGTGGCCACGATTGTTGAGGCGCTTCAAATGATGGTAGAATTGTCGTCAGTGTTTTTAAAACATGCGCTTGTATCTTGGCAGTGTGCTTTGAATGATTGGAGTGAAGAGTGAGTGTGACAACACTCTTTGTTTGAGTAGTTCCACCAATGCCAATGATTGAAATCGTTGAATGGCGACGTTGTATGTTGAGCTGTCTGATGAGACCTTCCGTGAAGGTGAGTTCAGATTCTTGATCGATAAGTAGCCGAACTTGATGAGTTGAAGCAGATGAGTGGATATGCGCTAATGCAGTTGCCAATAGCGTTGAATATTCTGAGTACCCTTGAGCAGATTCATCGACGATTGCACCAACTTCCTATTGAGCGGATGAGGAGGCAGATTGAGCTGGAGCTGACGAGGATGAGGATTGCTCGACGTGCAGCATTGAGTGATGCTTAGCTGAGCACGTCTTGCAGCTCAACGTGGAACGACATGAGCGGACATTATGTCGCCCCAGACAATTGAAGCATAGCCTCTTGTCAATCGCAGTAGTCTTTCGTTGAGCTGGCGTGAGATCTCTAAACTTTGTGCACGTGATGATGAAGTGCTGCCCATTGCACATGTCGCATGGGTAAGTTGTCGACGAGGATGGTTGAGTCTGTGCTTGAGCTGTCACTTGGCTCACGGTGCCTTCTCAACAATCCGCTCCCAAGAAAAAGGCCTCTGGTTCAACTCAAGAACGAAGCTCACGCCAAGCCTCACCAGCTCGCCTGCCAACGGAGCTCTCAATCAAAGTGAAATCTCAAACGAGCCGTTTTAACACAATTCAGAACATTGCAGAGACACAGCTCATCAGTCTCACTGACGCCTCATTGGATGAGATCAATACCTTGACAGCTCAATTAGACGAGGTTCACAAGGCATTCACTAGGGAACATGCCTACTTCGAGGTAACGTGGCCAGAGGCTCATTTGGATCATCATTATTTTACAAACAACATCCACGAAAAGGAAGCTCACCACGTGCTCTCAGCCAAGCTAATGCTCAGTCGTCTCAGGCGCAACCTCAGTGGAGCATCCTCATCTCACATAGTCTCACGTGATCCGGAACCACAAGCTCACTCACGGCTTCCGGATATTAAGTTGCCAAAATTCAACGGTGACTATGCGAATTGGCCTTCCTTCCGTGAGCTGTTTTCTGCGGTAATTCTACAACATGCGAAGCTCAATGATGTGGAGAAGCTCCATTATCTCAGAAGTTGTGTTCAGGGTCCAGCCGAGCAACTCATCCGTGGTCTGCCTCTCACCAGAGACTCTCTCCAACCATCATGGGATCTGCTCACCTCAAGGTATGAGAATAAGAGACTAATCATGCAATCTCAGCTCATCATGCGAATCTTTCATCGATCAAGTCGAATGCATACCATACATGTCGAATCATTGTTTTTCCTATAATTTTTTATTTTAAGGTACACGAATAATTGCAATTGTTATACGAAAATATATTATTTGATCTTCTATAGATAATTAATTAAACTACTTATATCACAAAAGTATATTAAGGGGAAAAAAAAGGAAAAAACAGGATTTTTGCATGAGACTATCAGCGTACTGTCCGTACATTTTATTTACTCAGCCGCATCGATTAATTGAATTTGACATTTACTAGTGCGATATAGAATCCACACGATGAACGCTCTCGTATTCTCGTATTCTCAAGAATCTCGGATTGTCGATGCAACGCGCGATATTATTATCAAAATATAGCACTCTCTTTCTCTACTTTCTCTACTTTAGTATTTTAAATATTAATTGGAATAAAGTGAGGTGTATTAGATATTATTATGATGCATACTTCTACGAAATACGCAACATTATAATTTGTGAGTCTGAAAGTATCCACTCTTGGCCAATATGTACGTTTTTTAAAATGTTATGTTAATTATGTTATATTAAAAAATTAATTGTAGCAGTTTTAATTATACCATAACTTATAACGTAAATTATTAAAAAAATTTTGTATTGTTATTTTCATCTTATGTATTTTAAATAACGTATATATTGTTGCTCAACGGAAACCGCGAGAAGGTGGTGGTCTCTTCCGTCAGGAGGGAAATGTAAAAAATAGTTATTATATAAAAAATTATTACATAAAAATTATTAGTATACCAAAAAAAATAAAATTTATATATGTTAATAAATTTACAATATATTTACAATTAACAATTATTGTTAAAAACTATATGTTAAAAATTAATTTTTTACATTTCCCTGGGTGTGTGTGTGTGTGTGTGTGTGTGTGTGTATGTGCGCGCGCGCGCGTGCGTGCGTGAGTGACAATATTTTTAGCTTTTAAGCATTATGTCCGGAAATTTTAATACCCTGACTTTTTCCTTCCCCATGAATAAGATATTTACTGTAAAATCGACGCAAAATCAACTTTATATAAGATACCTTTAAAAGTTCTTTATGAAATATCTTAAAGATGCTTCTTAAAGAACTTTTAAAGAAATCTTAATGTTGCCTTATGTGTCGACTTTCGCTCATTGAGTTTATAAGCATCATACTCTCGCGGACAATATTTTTAATACGCTTTTAAATATCTTATTGCTTATATTATTATCCTTACAGATATTTAAGTAAGTTTACAAAAGGTTTAAATTTTACATCTAATATTTTTAATCTGTTCTTGAGGAACCAGTAATATCATTTATATCAGCACCATATAATCCTAAAGTACTGCGTTTTTTTTAGCAACACTACTGTATAATATGTTCGTCTACATATGAGACAAATGTTTTTCTTCGATAATCATACTTAAAGAAGTTTCTCCTCTCGCCTTTAATGCTGATTTCACAATGCAAGTGGCATTAATGGAAGCTGGCGATAATTTGTTGCGTTTTTTTTATTTTCAAATCAGAAGGAAAACGTTCTTTTCGCGTCGGCATTTGAATTTGGAAGTGCATACAGCATTTAGAAGTTTTTTTAAGTTTGGATATTTATCGATGTTATTTGGATACTGAGATTGCAAAATTTGTTTCCACATATTATTGAATCTTAATTTAGCAAGACTGATTTTCTTCTGTAATGTAAAATCTAATGGCAATGCAAATCATTCTTTCTTTAAAGCGTCTTCATCGAAACCACCGATAATTTGAGCTATAAACAAAACATTGCTGAATGATGTTTCTCTATCAGTATCTTGTAAACATACTGAAGACTCAAAAACATTTAATTTTGATAAAAAAAATATCGTTTACAGGCAATCTTTTACAAATTTCTTCAGCAGCAGTTACGTAAAACATCAAACAGTTGCTTCGAACTATTGTAACTACGTTTTCGTGTCCTTGCATCATTAATTCATTCAGATATTCCTGACATTCTGATCCTAAGTTAATTTCATCAAGATTTCTTTGATTTTTTTTAAAGAAAACAAGAAACAGAAAAACATTGTATATGCTAATTCTTTAAAAAATTTTGGCATATTTTATACAATAATGTTAAAGATTTTGGTTGCAATTCATGAATTCATGTTTCTAATGACTGAAAATGTGCATTAAATTTGTTAAAAAAATCTAAAATATAGTGTAAGAAAAGAAAATAAGTTTTTGTCTCTACATTATCCATTATGGATAATAAATCTTTAGCAGAACCTGCTTTTTCGTTTACATCTATGTCATAAAGGAAGTATCTTATTGTATCCCAATATTCTAGAAGTCTTTCAACACAAAAATAGCGAGAAAGCCAGCGCGTATCACATAATTTTAATATTTTAAGACTTTTTTCTTGAAAACATTCACAAAAATCAGTGAATACAGCCGATCGTTTTGGACTGCTATAATATATCTAGCAATCTTTTTAATAAATTCCTCGCAAAAATCGGGTATTTTATTGCACGCAGCATTCGCTACTAACGCGGAGGAATGGCAAGAGCACTAGAATGTTAGTAAACGTGGACATACTTGTTCCAATTTTTTTTTAAACGATAAATGTTTCCCTGTCATGACAGACGCATTATCGCATGACAAGGCAACAATATTTGTAAATGGTATCTGTAATGTCCACATTTCATTTCTAAATGCTTCATACAACTTTTCTGCGCTGCAATCTCTAGCATCAATATCAATTAATTTAACTAATTGCGTTCTATTATCTAATGTTTTTGGCTCAATGTATCGAACAAGAAAAGTCATCCACTTGTCATTAATATCAGATGTTTCATCGATAAATACGAGTATTGTAAATTTCGTGTTCTGAATGTTGTTCACAATACGTTCCATTTCAATTGGACTCAAAACGTTCGTAATAATATTTGTACATTTTTTACGACTCATTTTCATGCTCTGTAATACATTAGGATCCTTTCCAATATATTGGAACAAACTAAGAATCTCATTTGAAGTTGTATGAGCAATATTTCTTTCCGCGATTAATGTGGCAAATTTTATTTCTGCTTCTTTTATACGCTCCTCGAATAACAAAAGCGATTCATTATTTTATACATTTAAATTTTCGATTCACTTGTTTCATTAAAAGAACTTTTACATTTGTTTACATGTGTTTCGTATTCTGCGTGACGATAGATATGAGATAAATAAGCAGTACGATACTTGTCACAGATTGAACAATAAAATAAGTTTTCATCATGTGGTGTTTCACGTAACCAACATTTAAACTGCTCAAAATATAATCATTTCTTTTTAAATGTTGATGTATTGTTACATTTTTAAATTGAAATATCGTTAATAGATAATAAATG